TACGATTGTATTCTTTTTTGCCCAGTTTTCCTTTCCTGCCCAGTAATCCAGCATAACAAGGATTAGGAGAGATTTTGAGGTGGTGGGGGGCGGGCTGAAATCAGCATTGTTGGGCATAGGCCACGTAAAAGTCTAGGAAGTATCTCCCTTGGATACAGTTCCTTTACCCGTTCCAACTAAAATAGAATTGAGACTCTGACTGCCGTTCCAGCGCGCACGAACATTTGCGTCCGGTTCAGCCACGCCGCATCAGTTAAACATCACCGCTTCTCATTGGAAGGTTTTGAACGGCCTCGTCCGCAACGTGCCGCAGGTCTCTAACCGCCAACCGCCGCATTTGACTTCCGTTTCCATTCCGGCGCTCCGACGCGTGTTTGTATTCAACACGTTCATCCGTGCAAAGCTGAATGTGCTGAGTTTGGTGACTACTTTCGATATCTGAAACAGTGCACGTGATTGTTGAATGCTGCTGATGGATGCGATGGAGTTCTCGAATGAGGAGAAAGTGATGCATCTGGTCAGCGAAGACAAGGATGTTGAGAAATCTCTGCTTTCCCTGCCAACTGAAATTTTGGAACATGTCTTGTGTTTCCTGAGTATAGAAGATCTTGTATCTGTATCACAAGTATGCAGGAGGCTTCACGATGTCCATACCTCAGAAAAAGTATGGAGATTCGGATTTATGTCCAGGTGAGTGGTCTTGTTAAGGTGTCATTTTGCTGAGAATGTTAGCTTTCCAACACTGAAGATTTGGGGTGCTCCTACAGCTGACAAGTCAATGGCAGTTATAATTATTGCCAGATGGAACACAACCAGAACAATTACACAAAAGTACATCAGTTTGATGTATATGTATATGCATATGCATCCATAGTTGTGGCTTGAAGGGATGTCAGCTACATCACTATCTGTACCAGCAGTTGTGAGCAGTACATCCTTTTTATGCAAACATAACTGACTGCAGAGTATGTAAAATGTATGTAAATTGACTTTTTGATTTTTTGTACTTATTTGTGTATACATTTTCAGTTTTTATAGTTTTTGTGAGGTTAGAGAAACATTGAAGGTCAGACCATATGCAAATCAAAGGGAGGTAAAGTGTCATACATGTTGTATTGATAATTCTTACAAGGTATATCAAGCTTGTATTTGCCCTGGGTGATTTTTTTGTCAGGCAAATGTCACCATCATGAAGAAACATGCCTTCCATTTACCAAATGTGCAATTCACATACAACACTAAGTTTGGGGTCGTGTTGCCATACTGTGTGCGCTAGGTACAGTACATGTGTTTAAAAGCAGTACCTGCAAATGCAGTGCAGCTTATAAGTTAGGTTGTAAAGCACAGATTACCAAATGACTGAGATAGTGACACCCCTGGTCATAGCAGTCACTTATGGTCTTCCTCATCAACCTCATTTGGGCCAGTTTTCACTTATTTTTCATTGCCTCATGGTGTAGTCATTCCAACAAGATGCAAAGTATTTTTTGACATTGTTTTTTCCATGCATCATGCTAAACTATTTCCTTAAGCAAAACCTGAACTATCAGCAATGAATAGCAGTCACATGGATGAAACAGTGAATGGGTAGAGAATGTTGATGGATGCAATAAGTGCAACTCCAAATCAACAAGTGGATAGCATTTTGCCTTTGTTTTATTGTTTTAAAAGGCTTGTTCACTGTCTTTTTCATAGTCTAGGTTCAGGTACAACAGTGTACCCATAAATGTAATTTGCTGCTCTTAAGTCTTTAGTGTTGACTTTTCTTCTAATTTTTCATATCACCGAATTATGCCCCAGGACGGTTTATCCAGTTTTGCATTAACAATTTCTGTCAACCAATGTTGCAGTACATGGAGACTGGGGCTGAGAATGAGTCAGCTGTTTGCAAACTCATTGGTGGCATTATGGCATATTGAAAGTCATATGGTGTCATACTTTATGGCAAGGTGCTCGAAATCATGCTCCTCATTTCTCGCCATTTCCAGAGAGGGTCTACATGCACTGTAATGTTTCAAAGACATCTACCACTTCTTTATTCAATCTTCATTGTATTGATCCACAGAGTTTCCCTCCAAGTCACTAATTCCATCTCTGAAATGCTTGTCAGCATATTCAACCTGCTAGTGGGATGCTCAAAGCACTTGATCTATCACTATCCTGTGGGGCACTCTGTCAGGGTATCTAGATGACTATGGCCAGACTATCTCAGGTTCATGCAGCATAATGTTGATAGAAGTAACATTATCATTGCTTTCTGCATCATATTACAAACTGTTGCATTCATGCATACTACCACAAGTCTATTTCAGGATTTTAATTTCAGTCAATGCCCCCACCTTGTCAGATGCCTGTTTTCAGTTGCTTTTCAGAGTTAGCCATGGCGAAGGTATGGGAGGTTGGCAATTTGCAAAACATCATTTGATTGTATGCATCACTGCTCTCTGCATATTCCTTGTGAAGATGGTATTGATTTAATCACCCTCACTGCGCACAGTGCCTTGGCCAGGATTTTCTGAGACAAAAGCGATTCTAAGCCACGTCTTCCATCTAGTAGTCCTCCTCCCGAACCCCCTTTTCGCCTCAATGGCGACGCCGTTGTCTTTTTTTCGCAGGTACCCGCGCTTGGTGCAGCCCTCGTGCCGACCTGCCTTGCTGCGCGTGTTTGAGCGGTGCGGATGCAGCTGGCGGCGCACTGCGAGGTTCCGCGCCTCGGCTGGCCATCACCTGCGTACAGCCCTAGCCAAGATGGCTGACAGATGCTACACAGTCGACTGCCTGCCGGATCCCGCCATGGAGGAGTTCCGCAAGCTGGTGCCCGTCCATGGTACCCTGTTCAATCGGGATGCCCTTCTGGAGATCATCTACTCGCGCCAACACCGTCCGTAAGTTGGATTACATAATCGGTGTGCTGTGGTCTCGGCAGTTTGCTTAGATTGATAAAATTGGCCAAGCATAAATTGCAAGGCACATATGTGAAGCACTGCCATGTAGTATCTACTTCACTTGACACGTCACGTGCCACGTCACAATTTTAAGGGATATGGTGAAGATCACCCAGTTACTGAAGTGTAGATTTCTTTGCACGCCATGCTGGTTGTTTGCGAAGCTTCTGAACTTGTTGTCGTTCCAAACGATAATTGAGTCGTATGGAACGCCGGCGGTAATTTGTGAGGGACCGTGCTGTCCTTGACGACAGTCTCGCCTTTTCATCTCAGTTTTAAATGACAGTTGTATCTCGGATATGTCTGTGAGACGGCACCAAGAATGGCTCAATTTCTTACTCCCAAGTGCCACTGCCATGCCTTGCTCGTGACTTAACGTCGATCGTCGCACCGTGCCAGCTTGTCTATATCGCACGTACCAGGCTGGTTTATCCACCATCACCATCATGCACTTATCGTATGTTCTGTTATCACGTAGCTAATGTAAAGACCAAACCAGCCTATTCGCTCCATCAGTTAAACTCATTGACTTGTAACTAAGCCCCGGACGTCGCACTTTGTTTCGGAGCGAGAAAATGCTGTCTTAGGCACGTGTGTAACACTACCCGCTTTTGGGCAGGGATGATGACCTGTCTGTGCGCTACTACGCGCGGATGCTGTTCCGCGAGATCCAGCGAGACGTCGTGCTGCTGCCCATGTTCCGGGAGTACATGCAGCGGCCAGTGCAGCATCTGAACGTGCCCGAAGCCTTCTATCTGATGAGCCTCTGGATGGTTCCGGAGCAAACCGACAACCGAGAGTCCAATCTCCAGACGTGAGTCTTTTATCTCTTTTTGAATCGTCCGATCTCCTTATGGAGTCCTAGGATTTGCGCGGAAACATTCTGCCAGCTCGGTTGTGTTTCTGATGTGTATGAAGGTCATGCTAAGGGGTGCAAGTTTGCATATGTCAAATCCCTTTTCTGTGTTCATTCGCGCGGATGACACTCGATTGCAGGCCGATGTTGTCTACGGTTATCGAATCCACCTTTCCCTTTATCACTTGCTCCAGCCAAATACCACGATGTGTTGTGCTTTGCTAGAAAGGCGTCACCAGAATTTGACATGGATTCTAACAAGCGATTTGGTCGAATTTCTTGTTGTTGTTTTTTGGTGCTGAATGTGGTATTTGTCCGTGCTGTTCAAACTGCGTGATCGCCGTGATCGCGTATATTATGTATCGCCGTCAGGGCGATGGCACACAAGGCACTCATCTCTCCCATTGCTTACGTCTTAGCTTTTTAACGTTCGTATCCCTGTCTCTTGCTCCCCCCCCCCCCCGTCCCCCGGAACAAAGATGAACTCGGATGTGCACGTGCGAGTCTTGACCTGGTGTGGTCTCTGCAGTTGCTACAGCAAGATCGCCGGCTTGGTGTTGGATGAGCTGCGTGGACGGCTCCCCGAGCACCCGGCCGCCGCCTGGACTACGTGCAAGAAGAACCCGTTCGGACCCACGATGTGGACAGATGACCAGACGCTGAAGCTTCTGAACGCGATGAACGTCGTGCTGTATGACCAGCTGGCCCTGATGAAGGAGGGCGGACCGGAGGACGGATCGGCTTCCGAATTGAGCACGCTGGTAAGTGGATTGCAATGAAGATTAATCCTCGTTCCTTGCACGTTTGAATGGGTGAAGTCACGCACAGGGCATGTGGCAGACTTCTATGTCCGATCTGTTTTTGTTTTTTTGTGTTGTTATCAGTGGTGGGCTGTGACTTGCAAAACAATGCTGTCAGCCATACGTTCCCGTCCGTTTGCCTTGAGGCGTATTGCTGTGCTCCTTCCAGATGGCGCAACACCGAACACGCTATTGTGATGTGTGCACAATCTCGAACGGTGACGGTGATGATAACCATGATTAAGCGCTTGCTCATGCGGTTGTCACCAACATGTGTTGTGTTGGCTCGGTCAGTGTGGTTTAATTTATTGTTGTTTACATTTTCTCGCTATGTACTGGTACATCTCAGTAAACAGTTGTATTGGAACCTACTGCTGCGTTTATGAATGAATGGGCTGATGGGCTCTTCGTTCTGAATATGTGTAGGTGATTGGGTTGCATGAAGCGCAACGCATTCAATGGCTTGCCATTCCTTTTCAGGTTATGTACCTTCGTCGCCACCTCCACTCCGCGGGATCCGGGACGCAGACTGTAATGGGGACAGTCTACTCCTCTGTAGCCGGCATGCTGGGCGTTAATCTCCACAACGTGCAGTTACCGCACAGCTCGATGATCTGCTGGCACAAAGCGTAAGCATTGCCGAAGGGGGCGTGGGAAATGAGTCTGTTCCTCTAGCACTATAACGGCATTGGGACAGACTGGTTGTTCAGGTCATGGGTTTTTGGGAGCTCCTGCTTTATCAATTGGTGTCTAATAGCCTATTTTTTTATTTTTTTGCCATAGGTTTTGATTTCATTGCCATAGATTTTGAACTTCTGTGATTAGTTGTGCACTTAACTATGTTTCCTTGAGCAAATCACATGATGCGAATCAGTGATGTTATGCACATCATGTTTATGTTGCTTAAGAATATCGTGATTCCCAACGAATTTGACAACTATATAATTTGGCTGTGGATGATTTGATCACGTGCATACGGAGTATGTTCATCTTATTATTTGCCTAATTTTGCATGTTGGCAGTTAACTCATGTTTTGTAACTGCCGTGATCACACATGTTTGGCGAACTTCTAGCGTTCTTCCTTACATCTTGGTACAAAGCTCTGGCATGTATTCCTGAATGTCTAGGCATGTTTTCAATGTATAGCAGGTGTGCATAATGTGTAGACAGTACATATGCAAGCCGGGGTGTTTTGGGTGCTGCAGTGAATTGTGATATTTGTTAATAAGGAATGTCGCTAATTGGTTAAAATGTAAGCCTCATGGGCGATTGGATTCCTTCCGTGTGGGAGGCTTATGAGAAGCTTGCTTTGTGCTAAAATAAAATGCAAGATAAATAGATGTCGACGATTATAATGGCATCCCTTGCAATGTAATAGTCATACCAAACCTTGAAATTTGCTACCATAATAGTGGAAAACACCTTTTCCGTGTACACAACTCGTCATCACGTACAAACGTTGCATATTTTGTTGGAGTGGATTGTGTTTGTCATTCATGATCAGTGCTGCACGCAAATGAAGTGAGCAATTAAAAGCGATGGCACTGTGTTACATGTCATATTTAGCTATTGACCTTCTTCCTTTCCTTCATTAGAGCTTTGATTACTTTCCAAACTTTTTCTGACAAGAATACCCGAATTATCACCGGCGTGATCAGCCTTATCACATTTTCTCCGTTGCTGAGAATATGTATCATCTTATCTTGTTTGACATCTTGATTTTCATCCATTCATAATCACAGTAGCATGCTTTAAACACAACATTCTTATCGCATAAACTGAATCGCATTTATTCACAATGCGTTGTCGTTTTGTGTAAATTCAACATAATCATGCACTGACTGTGCTTGTCTTGCCTTGTTTGTTTGTCACTGTGCTTGTATGCGTGTTTGTTTGTGACTGCGAATATCTGTGCTGTACAGTGACATATTCCTATTCACGTGTCACCTGTAGGAATTCACACAGTGTGTGTGGTAGGCCTGACGTGCATCTCCTCTGGCAGGGACGGTGAAGAGTACCTGTTCATCGACGTTGTCCGCCGCGGCATGCGGCTGTCCTGGGAGCAGGTGATGGAGGAGCTGAATGCTGATCACCCGGAAGTGGACCTCCAGATGCTGGAACCCTTTCCCAGGGCAGGGGTGCGTAATGCATGGGATGTTTTCAGATTCTTGGACAACATGCCCTGTTACTTATGGAACTCATTGATATTTGAGAAGTATTCCATTTTATTTAAAAAGCGCGTGCATGACTCATTTGTGCAAAGAAACCTGATTGAATAGAGACCGACTCATTCTTGGGCTGGGAGCACGGGAGTCCCAGGTTGAGTATTTTGTGCTCTTACATGAATCTATGAGAACCAGCAGTCTTGCGACGGCTTGTGACGAGCCCTTGTATCTGTACGCTCTCGTGTGTCCGGCGGTGTGATTGTGATACCAATCCTTGTCTAACGCAGTGTATTGTGTTTGCAGCTGCTGCGTCGCCTCATCAATGGCGCAGTCCATCCGGATGTCCGCCGGCCAGGGACCGGCTTCGACCTGGTCTCGTTGGAGACGCTGGCCTGCTGGGCCCGCAGCGACTGCCGTCCGAACACGGCCGCAATCGTTGACCTGATGTCGACGATGGCTCGTGCCCGGCCCATGTACACGCGCCGCCTGTTGCAGGTCAGTGGTCTTGGATGACGCTAGAGCTGGGCATGTGTTTTGAACAATTGTTGGAAAGATGCTTCTGGGTCACTATTATGTGCGCGATGAAAATGTGCACGATGGGTGTGTAAGATACGCATGTGACTTTTTATATGCAAGGTGACGTTCTGGTCTCATTTTCGGTTCCCAGAAATCTCCAGCTCGTAAATGGCCTGTAATCGAGGGCTGTGCGCTGCGCCCGTGATGGTGCAAGCAAAATAAATGGCGATATGATGAGAAGTAACTAGTGATACCTTGTTTTCACTGTTTTTTCCTCCCTGCAGCAATTCGTCGAGACTAACGGCTCGCTCGTGGCTGAGAACGAGAGGCGTGGCCTGGAAGCGCTCATGAAACACTTCAAGAGGATGTACAAGCGGCTGGTGCGCTCCCTAGACGAACAGGAGGCTGAAGTGCAGGAACTGGTAAGAATGAATTGGATTTGATCAAATCGACAATAGAGGGAGTTAATCGTGTAGCTTCTCTTAATTCTTTGCTGAGCTGTTCATATGCATGTGGTGATGTGTGGGAGGTGGAAACGTGTTTGCGCGCGCGTCAGTTACGTGGTTGATTGTCATGGCGTGTTGTTATGTATAATGATATGCCTGCATACTTATAAGTTGGCTGTATCTCTATTTGGTAGGGTTAAATAGCTATGTGAAACAGGTTTAACCCCATGCATAAGCATCATAAGCATTGTAAAGTTGTGATGCAGGTTTAATCATTTCGTAGAAATTCATTTCTGTACGGTTGTTTTCTTCCATTCACTTTCTGTAATTTCTTGTGCAATTTCCTGCAGACCTGTGACCCGGGATTCGTTCCTGCTATGGTCCTTTGTGACCACTCGTGCACCACTATATTGTCAACCTGTTGTCTGATCTATGGAATGTATCATTCACTTCTCAGTTAGTAACGCTCTCATTTAGTTTGTAGTAAGTTGACCTCACCTCATAATTAACCTATATGGCGCTTGTTTCGAGCATTTATATATGTGCTATTTTCTCATGTTACTAGTTTCTGGGCTTACTGATGCTCGTTTTCGTCTTCTCAGCTCATTTTCTTCCCAGTTATTTCCCGCGTCCCAATGCCCATTTTAAATCCTGATGGCCCATTATCTCCTTGTGTTGTGTGCAATACCCTCATTGTCTTTATCCGTGTTTCAGGCGGACCTCCGCGCGGCTGGCCGAGCAGTGGGCGACTACCGGAGGCAGTTTGGTGTGGGTGACGTCGTCACGTACGGCGACGGGTTCCTGGCTGTGGTGTACGGCTGCTCACCATACTACGAGATCTCACAGGTAGGAGCGATACCAGTGGAACTGTCGTACATGGCAGACCCTGTCTGAGGTCATTTGTCCTATTGTGTTGAGAATTGGTTTAGTGAGGTGTTATTTTCTGAGGACTCAAAGGAACTGTTTTGTACTGTTGTTACTTCTCTCAGGGCAAGCCAATCACCGCATGCATAATCATTGTTTAATTGTGTGACTTGTGCTATACGAACCCCACGACCATCGAAGTTGTTTTCTCTAATGGAGGATATGCGGTGTTTGTAATATTTTGGTATTTTGTGTGTGTACTGAGATCAGGTGTAACTTTGCAATGTTCTGTCTGTCTATACATCGTTTTGAATGTGTGCCCTCGCTGTATGGCAAACATCTATTGTGATTTCATACAAGTATGTTGCAGTGGTCCCATTCCCTTCTTGATTCGAAGAGCCAATCAATGCATCAGTGATAGGCACGTAAATGTACCACATTGTTACAGTTGTGGCTAGACGCACGTGAGCTCTTAAATGGTATTCCTGCGAAGTCTCAGTGCCCCCCCCCCCCCCCCCCGCCCTCATCTCTGACGACGGCCGTGCGGTGTGAGTTATTGTGCTGACTCGGTGGTGGTGTTTTCAGGACTGGACGGCAAATAGTCGCGTCTGCTCCGGGCTTCAGCGGGGACACAAGCAGCCCTTCTACAGCCTGCTGCTGGAGGGTGACCGGTTCGGATACATGGCTGAGGGTAAGCAGGCTCTTCAAAGTGTTCTTCACTCTATTGGAGTTTTTACATGGACCCTCCCCCTCCTGGTATTTGAATTATGGACGGGGTGCCATAAATATTTTGTTTCGTTGCATTTGACATGCTTTATGTTTTCACGAAACTCCTATATTCAGTCTGGCATGTGTACCCTGATGTACCCTGATGCACCCTGATGTAGGTTACCCTGATGTAGGTTTTCCAGCATCTTCTGTAATTTTTAGTCGTTATAATGTTATGATTTGAAAGGGATCTTCATTACACAACCATACTGGGAAATGCACTATTAAGTGCAATTCACGCCCATGACTGCTACTCAGAAATATTCCTAGGTCGTCCCCAAACCGCAGCAGATTGATGAGATGTCACAGATGTCATTACACATCCATACTGGGAAATGCACTATAAAGTGCATTTCACGCCCATAATATTTTGTTTCGTTGCATTGGGCATACTTTATGTTTATTACGAAGCTCCTATATGGAGTTTGACGTGTGTAATACGCTGATGTAGGTTTTCCAGCATCTTTTGTAATTCTTGGTCATCGTAATGTCTAATTTCAAATGCATCTTTATTACACAGACATACTGGAAAGTGCACTACATAGTGCAATTCACGCCCAGAACTGCTACTCAGAAATATTATTAAGTGATCCCCAAACGACAGCAGATTGATGAGATGTCTTGCCCCCATTCTGGCGTAGAGCGCCACTTGCGTCTGCGTCTAACAGAGGTGTTTGGATATTTGCAGAGGAGCTGCAGCTGTCCCCGGATCCCCAGCCAATCAGCCATCAGGAAGTGGGTCGCTTCTTTACCCGGTTCGACGGCGAACGGTATGAGCCGATCGCTCCGCTGGCTATTCGCTTTCCGGAGCCGCTGTGTGAGCATGAGACGAAAGCGAACTTCGTCGAGTGTTCGACAGATGGCAGCGACAGCGAATGGGAGGACGACGTTGGAGATGAAGAGGAGGATCGGAGACCCTCACCGCCCACAGTGTGGATGGGCGTTTGGCCAGCGATCCTCCCCGAGGACTCAGATGATGAGGACACCGATGGTTGAGCCGTGACCGCTGACGGTGATCCGTTGAACCACTTATGGCTATGTTTGGGCTGTGAAGAATAGCTCACTGGTGTTACTGAATACCTCAGCTGCCTCAGGTACTCTGTATGGCTGTGCATATGCGTGTATGCCCGTGTAGGTGTTTGGCATGCACCCAGTCCGTGGTCTTTTTGTTTGATTGCTCGTGCTGCATTGGCGTCGGTTATCCTACGCACTCAGGGTGGCAATTACGTTGTCATGGTTTGCTGTGCCTTCTTTTGTATGTGATAGCATTCTGTGCCATCGGTTGTGTTTGTGATGCCAGCTTTAAAAGTGTGTGCGTGTGCCATATGTACATTTAGATGTATCAAATGATTGGAAGTGGACGACTGATTTCGTACTTTGCACGCAATTTTGAGCTGTGTGATAGCTAAGCATTGATATTAAGTCAATTGTTGAGGTTTGAAATGTGTTCATTGTCATGCCTTAGGTGGTCATTGGCTATTGCTTTCATAGCTGTGATATATTGTCAGGCTGTGTGGCTTAAGATGTCCCGGTGATTACGTTCTGTGTGTACATTTATCGTTGGTAACTGGCAGGTACCAGGTGCTATTGGTAGCGCCGTTTTACAAAAGAACGACTTCGGGCTTTGTGTACCTCACATGGAACCATGCCCTGCAATATTTGTACCAATGCATATGATCATGCAAAATATACTGATAAATTGTTGCAATGTGTTCTGGGATGGATGAAAGACTGCTTTGAATAGGCTGGTTTCTGAGCAATAAGAGAACACGGACATCCTGCCTATGACATATGCAATGTTACTCTGCCGCGGATTGCTTTCCACCTTTTTTTGTATAGATTTTTGAAAGCATTACGCTGGGCTTCGATTATACTCAACAAACATAAGTCCTCTAACATAGCAGAATTTTTAACAGATAAGTTTTGAGTGCAGACAATTTGTTTGTGGCAGCTATTGCGTGGCATTTTTGGATAAGCGGTATAAAGGCTTTAATTGACAGCTGGCTGGGGTAGCCTGTCCTGACCTGGGCTGACCGCGCTGGGTCCTTTTCATTACCTAAGCGCTTCTTCGGCCATTGAGGGTTTCGCCGAAATGATTTAGTCACCTTTAGTCATCATCTTTAGTCATCTTTATCCATCGCTTCATCATATATATATATATATATATATATATATATATAAATATATATATATATATATATATATATATATATATATAAGCACTTCATATCCTTTTAAAGCTTATTTGCGCAGCCACAGAAATCATAGATGGAGACCTCGTAGATTGCATCACCTTTTTATAAAGGGACCTGTTTGTGTGCCTTTAGCGTGCCTCTGCTTGGCCGGCGTCACCTACGGAGGGTGGAAGTACCCGCTCCACTGCTCCACTGAGCTGAGTTTAGCTCCACTGAAGTAGAGCGTCGCCAGGGAGATTTGTTTGGTGCGAAATCTTAGGTGAACGTTTAACACGCGCTCGGGTGGGGGCAAATTGACACCCCCGAAGGTTTTTTCCAGAATGGTTTCCGAACGGCGCGACGTAGCCGCGGGCAACTTTTGCATAGCTGTAGAAAATTGAACAGTGGATCCTTTGACATAAAAAATTGCATGCGCATTGTAAGGTTGCTGACCTATGGCAGGTCAAAGTCAGGCCATGGTTTCAGCGACGGCAATTTCTAGGGAATCGTCCAATCTGATACAATAACAGAGTGTTTGACGAAGGCACACCTTTCTGAGATGCTTTCTTAGGCACTACAAATATTGAATAAGCAAATTACTTTGACCTAAAGTCAGATATAAAGGCCAGACCAAGGTCAAAACCAACCTGATTTACTACTGTAGGGTTTACTGTATGGGACAGTTTGTGGTGCTCATTTCGAATTTATAGACAGCAGGAACCGCATTATACATCTTGCATTGACTTCTTGGATGTCAGAAAATGTCATGGACCTAAGATGTCCCGGGTCGACATTTGTTTTATCAACATACTGCCCAGCGCAACATTTGTCGCTGATTCAAACGCAAAACCCAGAGCAGTCTTGTATGATTTTAGTCACCATGACCTTCAAAAGGTTAAACAAGGTCACTGACGTCAAATTGGACTTTGACCTTTTGCTAAAACAGTTTCCTAGGTTCTGGGGGCACTTTGGTGACCAACTTAGAATGTGAACTTTTTTGACCGTATTTGATCCAAAGGCCATGACCTAGGAAGCTCACACTTTGACCTAAGTGAGTTCACGTACAGGTCAAGACACCCCGCAAGACACAAGACTCCCTGAAACAACACCCCCGAATGATCGAGTGTGCCACAGTAGCTTAACAAATAGGGCTCCCAACAAGAGCGTAGGGCCCTCCATTCCAATGGAAAAAACCGAAGACCTTATGTGAACGGCCCCAGAATGATAGAATGTGTCCGAACAGCTTATCAGAAGGAGCCCGAGAAGAACGTAGAAGAACTCTTTTCTAATAAGAAGTGCCCAAAATCCAGTGCGGAGGGCCCCCGAAACATGGAGTACACCCGAGCAGATTATCGGGTTGGCCGGACAGGAGTGTAGGGCCCTAAATTCACACACCAAGACCCAATGTGCAGGGTCCCTGGACAATGCAGTGTGGCGGAAGCGGCGGACAGATGGGGTCCTCGACAAGAACGTAGGAGCCGTTTAAAAAACTGCACCTGTTCGGCCGGCTATGGGCCCCCGTAGCCAGTGGGCCCCTTCTGGACCCAACGGATGGGGACAGCCCCGTGCTCCCCACCCCCTCTGGATCCGCCCCTGCTCATCTATGTCATTAGGCAAAGAAGGCTATCCAGCTTCACATCATCATTTGTTCGTTTTAACATTGTCTTTCCTGGGAAGGCGGAATTCTATGAGCGGGTAGGCATTTTGGTTCATTGAGGAGGCATTTACCCCCACAGCGTAGATGCCAAAATACCGCCTGGACATAGGCTGGCGAGAATTTTGAAAGTGAATCAATGGCTCACAATGCGATAGATTTTTCACGCGCCGTCATTTCGCTGGCTGCTCTTTAAGAAACAACACTTGTGGTAGCATTTCAGGCATAAACAATATCGGAAGCCTGAAACTGCCAAAAACAATGTGAAAAGGGCATAAAACTGGAGACTCTCATTTCAAAACCAAGCCAGACAATGAAGGTCCCTCTGTCATATATTCCTTATCTGGGACCTGCTTCTGTCCGCTGTCGGCGGCCGCTGCCCTGACCCGGCTGTCTCTCGCGTGATTGACTGTGAATTGATCGCATGGCTGCTTTGTTGCATGTTTCTGGATCAGCGTTACCGCTAATTGATACGCAAAACATATGCTGGACACCTGCACCAATATCTCTTTCCGAATGATCTTCCCTTACACCACACTGCCGCAGAAAAAAAGCTTCCGGGAGGCTGCCTGACTTAGGTATGAATTGGTCCAACGGACATTGAACTGATCATCATTCAGCGTAGCCGACTTGCTCTGCTTTCGGGTGTGGGCAGGGGCGTAGCCAGACCCTTGCCAAGGGGGAGCACAGGGTTGACAAAAGCCCCTCTTATGATGCAACCCCCCCCCCCCCATAAAAACGGATATAGCTTACTTGTTAACAAGGGACACCGCTTTCTTCGTTTTATTGTTGTTTTTACCTTGTGTTCAGAAAAGAAGCTAGAAGCTGTGTGAGATTTACGCGTTTGTATTTTGAAGTCAATAGACTGCAGAATTCAGGCATTGAACGACCGCATGGAATGAACCACTGACGCTCTTAACTTGCAATGGTATAGTGGACGCTTTGTAAACCGATTAAAGAGGCTTTGTCAGAACTGTTTAACTGGGTTCTACAGACATTAAGGGCATCACGAAGGCAGATTGTAGATCGATATGTTTGATCGAATATGAAGATGAAAACTTGATTGTGGATAAAATGGTTATCAGTGTGAATTAATATGCCCAATCCATGATTGTCTGGAAATGTTCAGCATTCAGTCAGAATCGATTAGTGATACAATTTATGTAACTTAGTTTTTTAACATGCGCGCTCTCAAATCTTATCAACGAAAACCACGACACCAGACGTTGTAGTCTCCGTAGTCCGCGGAGCGTTAGCCCAGCGTCTAACTCTTAGCCGTAATCCGCCGGTGAACAAAAATGATGACGATTCTGAAACAATTGTCTTCAAACACCTAAATCGATTAGTGATGCAAGTTATGTGGCGCAGTATGGAGCATGCGCGCTCGCAAATTTTAGTAAAAAAACCTCTTCGCCAGGCGTTGCAGTTTCCATAGGCCGCGCGGCGTCGGCCCAGCAGCTAATACTGGACCGTGACCAACGCGTGGACGAAAGTGATGACGCTTCTAAAAGAAGTACTTTTGAACGCTTCAGGACGTCGGGTCTTACATTAAGAAGCCAGTCTGGGCGCATATTTGACGTATGTGATTTTTAGACTGATGATAAGACTGGACTGGCCCTTAAAGCACATCGAAGTGGTGCCGGAATCTGCTGGTGGAACTGGACGAGTAAAGGCAGATTCTCTATTTTTCGTGTTTCTGTAGCTATTAACCTGCCTAGAAGACAGATTAACACGGCGCCCGCCGTCTGCTGACATTTGCAGTGGCCGACGTCGTTCGGTTTTAAGGAAATTGCAACCCAGGCCATCGCTGTCCTTGCTCTCGAGGCTGCGGGCAGGCATATTCAGGCCTTTAATGTCATTTGTTTCACTAGTCCGTTCTGAAAAACGAACGTTCTCAGGCAGGCATGGCAAGCAAGCAAGCCTCAGGCAAGCCTTGTTGGTTTTTTATACTCATTTCGACCCTCTCTATTCAACAATAATGAGACCCCCACTCTTGTCAACAACATTGAGACCCTTATTTCCTTCCGGGCGAAGGGCCCCTTAAGAAGAGCCCAAGGGGCACCTTACCGTTTCCGATCAAGGGCCGAAGGGCCATTCCGTCCCATCGCGAAGTGACTTCTGGCTGTCATTCTGGCGATACGGGGCGGGATCTCCCGGTCGTTCCGGAG